AAAAAAAAAAAAAAAGACGAAGAAAGAAGTAGAAAAATTTAAAAAGCAGAATTGGTACTACACTTTTCCAAGCTGTAGAGTTATTTATTTATTATGTCCTTCAGTGCATGATTTAGAGCCCTCAGGAGTGGGGAAATAAATAGCCAGCTTGAGAAGTGAATATGCTGTCTCAGAGAGGGCTTTCTCTTAGAATTTTGGGATCAAGTTGTTTGTTTTGTTTTTATCCCCATAGGTGTGAGTGGGTCCGGCAGAAGGAGACATGGCTGCCAAAGTGTTTGAGTCCATTGGCAAGTTCGGCCTGGCCTTAGCTGTTGCAGGAGGAGTGGTGAACTCTGCCTTGTATAACGGTGAGGCACTGGGGGTGGTGGGTCACTGCCCTTTGCCGGAGGATTTCCATTGGTCTGCACAGCCCACGTGATACTCCCCGTGGCAGCCGCTGTCTGTGAATGTGTTTGTGACCAAGAGGGTCACCTGGTGCCATCCCGCACCATATGGTTGCCTTGTCAGTCGAGCCTCTGTCCTTCCTTGTAGCCATAAGCTCTCTCAGAGCCTTTCTTTGCAAAGAGCCTCCCAGCCTAGTTGTTGGTTAAACGTTCCCAGTTGCTCTTGTTGGTTTGAAGTGATGCTGCAGCAGAGTGTCAGGATCTTGCTGGCTAGCTGAAATGGGGATCTCATCTGTTCCTTTCTGCCTCGTGTGGAATAACTCAGCAAGGGCTTTAGATCTTTGGTGCCCTTACCCAAGTGGGAGTTTTTGCTCTGCTGCATAGGGGTCATTCCAGACAAAAACTCTTCGAGGTGCCTTGCCCAGCTTTTAACAGTGTGGCAGGGGCTTAAGCTGACTTTTCTTCCACTTTCTTTTGTGACCTTAAGCAAGCCATTTCCCCCTCCCTAGGTCTCAGCTTCTTCTTTGATCGAGCAGTAGGACTGAACTGGTTTACCTTCCAACTCTGACATTTCTCTGGCTTTCATGGTTGGAAAGCAGCAATAGATTGACCTACCTCATATGTGACTGTCTGGCAAGAGGAGGGTTACTTTCAGAGTGAAGGTATTTGGAGCAGCTCTAAAGTCCAATAAGGCAGAGACAGAACAGCTGACGAGAAAAGCTTACTTGGTTTAAATGGCGCAGCTCTATGCTCTGATCTTTGTAGCCACTCCGCACAACTAGACTAATCACCATCACTGATTTCTTTCTGAATGAAAAGAACAGCTCTGTTAACCCTTAAAACCTGAGAGAAGCCAAGTTCTTGGAAGGAGTGGGACCTTCCAAATTTTAGGATTTCCAAGGTTAGGGAGCTGCTTCTGGGAAACGCTGCCTTAAATTGGAACCAGGATGGAATGTGGTAACAGTGAAGATTTTGGTGAGTTTTGGAAAGAAGCTTTGGGAGGTGATTTCCTGAAAATGTGTTGGGGGATGGGATAGTTAATCAGAAAATCAGCAGCCAGTTGTTTCAAGGAGAAAGGATGCTGAAGAACAGATCCTGTTACCTGAGTCCTTGGGAAGACACTGGGATGGGAGGGGATCGCTCAGTTTTGTGGCTACTTAGAAGCTGCTAGAGACCAGAAGTGCGGGAAGACAGCAAGAGAGGGGAGACAATAATAACAGCACCAAGGAGCTTTCACAGATAGCCTTTTTGGTTAAAAGGTGAAGGGATATTTCTGACTTGTCATTATCCTTCATTCCTAGTGGATGCTGGGCACAGAGCTGTCATCTTTGACCGGTTCCGTGGTGTACAGGACATTGTGGTAGGAGAAGGGACTCACTTTCTCATCCCTTGGGTACAGAAACCCATTATCTTTGATTGCCGCTCTCGACCACGTAATGTGCCAGTGATCACTGGTAGCAAAGGTGAGTCTTGCCTGTGGGTCACATGAAGTAGAGTGTGTGGGAGGGTTGCCATAGGATCCAGGAGAAGCTGAACCTCCCCTTGCATATTTTTCCTGGAGAATTTTAACGCAGATTCATAGAAATATGGACCTAAGGTAGACACACAGCTGTACAGATTTAGAGAAATACACAAAGGTCTATTTCAAAAGTTATGTAGTGCTCCAGTTTTAAAGAAATATAAAAGTGCCTTTGCTCCCTCAGTCGACCCTTTCCGTTGGGTCTCATTCCCCAGAGTGACTGTGTAAACCAGGCTCCAGCCATTCTGTGTGCCTTCACGGCCGGCTTACCCTTTGCCTTGTTCTCCAAGGCCTCTTTTTCCAGCAGTGCTGGCCTCACATTGTTACCTTTTTTTTTTTTTTTTTTTTAAGAGAGGGAGAGAGAGAATCTTAAGCAGGCTCCACGCCCAGTGTGGAGCCCAAACCAGGGCTCAATCCCACGACCCTGAGATCGTGACCTGAGCCGAAATCAAGAGTCGGCCGCTCAGCAGACTGCGCCTCCCACGGGCCCGAGTCCCTTGAGAGCAGTCCCCTGGTGGCTGACATGCCCCTGGATTCACAGTGGGCCTAAAACGAACTGCCATCGCCGTTCTCCCACCATCCTACACAGAGAGATGCACAGGTGGTAAATGGGATGGCAGGTGGGCTGGCTCAGCAGTGACGTTTCCGTGCAGCAAGAGGCGAGGGTCGTGTGGATGTTGGTTTGTTGTCTCGGGAACATTTGATGCCTTCAGTGTTGTTCCCCAGCGGATGTGTTGCTTATTGTGACTGTTCCACGTTTTGTGCTGGGTCGCAGGGTGGGGGTGGTTCAAAGATAACTGAAGCGGGGGCCTCTGGGAGCTCAGTCCCCCTAGGGACATAGACACGTGAATGGGCAGTTACAGTAAGCGTGGTGAGTTCTAGAGCCAAGGGCTTGGGGTGGAGGGGGCCAGAGAACAGCTAGCCCCCACAGGTGGCTGCAAAGGCTCCTGGGAGGAACTTCGTGTGAGCTGGGACTGTAGTAAGAGATGCATGTCAGGCAGAGACGGGGACGAGTAAATTGGCATTGGGCAACCTGGCCTGTAGCTCCTGGCCCCTCAAGGGTCTGGCTGGCCTCCCACAAGAGATCAAAGGTGGGGTGGGGTTAATCAAGAAAAATAAAATTTTAACTTAAGAGCGTAGTTCTAAGCTTCCCACCTCTTCAAGATTGCTTTCTCTGCTGTTTTACAACTGTTGTAAGGATGCATTACTTACTCATCTTCAAAACTGTTGGTAGGAATTTCCAGGGATCAGGAACTAGTGTGCATGCATTTCCCGCTTTTCTGGGTGCCTGGTTCAGAACTAGCCCATGGGCGATTGGTCCCTGTATCATTGGTGACTGCCAGGATGCTGACCATGCTTTAGCCTCAGGCAGGCCTGAATCGTCAGGGGAAGTTGTAATTAACTTCGTGAGCCCTCCCTGCCCCCGCCCTTTGCCTGGGCCGAGTAATGAGAAGCATGCTCCAGATGAGTCTGATGACCCCTTACATCTGTTGCACATTTGACACAGTGCTGTTACATCTCATTTCTCCTTCACTTCCCCCCAGTGTTCAGGAAGGCAGATGAAATCACCCCCATTCTGACAGACAAGGAAATAAGCCGAGATTGGCTAAGGCTTAGTGAGGTCCCATCATTCGCGAACAGCAGGGTAGGACTGCAGCCCTGGCCTTTGTACTCCTGGTCCAGCCGGTGTGGACTGTTTCCGCAGGACCCATGATAACCTCTCCAAGGCATCCTCCTGGCGGGGGCCTTGGAAAGGCTTCACCTGAAAATTCTTGGCATTGGCCTGTTTTCTTGAAACATTTGCTGTTTCAAACATCCCATGGTACCACTCAGACATGTAAGCTGAATTGCTTCTGTCCGAGGGCATTCAACACACACTGAAAAGCTGTCATCACCACAAACCTTTAAAAATTCGTAGCTCCGCGGCTCTGCTGGGTTTTGTACCAAGGAAGCTATGCATAGGGGCTCCTGCCCTCTAGGGTCTTAACATCAGCAACTTTACTTACAAACTACAGCAAGTTGAGGGTAGGAGAGGTCATCTAGAAGGCCACCGGGGTTTTTATTTGTAACTCCAGCATTTGTCCCTACCCTAAGATTTACAGAACGTCAACATTACCCTGCGCATCCTTTTCCGGCCCGTTGCCAGCCAGCTTCCCCGCATCTTCACCAGCATCGGGGAGGACTATGATGAGCGGGTGCTACCATCCATCACTACAGAGATCCTCAAGTCGGTGGTGGTGAGTGACAGGGCCTCAGCCTGGAGCCTGGAACCTGCAGCCCGGCCTCCAAGAGATAGTTAGGTGGCAGGCAGAGAGTGGCAGTGGGTGGGTTGGGACGTGGCCGGTAGTTTTCCTGGCCTTTCTGCTTCCTCGTCGTCCTGACTGGCTCTTGTGCCCTCCTTTGGAACCAGGCTCGCTTTGATGCTGGAGAACTGATCACCCAGAGAGAGCTGGTCTCCAGACAGGTGAGCGATGACCTTACAGAGCGAGCAGCGACCTTTGGGCTCATCCTGGATGACGTGTCCTTGGTAAGACCCTCAGGGAGCCTGTGAGGAAGGGGCTGCGGTTCTTGTTCAGGTGCTTGGCTCCATTTCTGGGTGGACACTGTTGGTCTTGCCTTCCACTTTCCTAGGTGTGAGACTCAAAAACGCAGAACCTTCTTGACTATGAGGCAGTCTCCTTGGGTTTGTTTCAGATGAGGGTTCTTTTGCTTCCCCTCTGCCACACACATTTTTCTTCTTTTAGCCCTGCCTGATCTAGGGTCCCTAACCAGTAGATTTTTCACCTTCCCCGACACTGTGAGTGTTCCCGGGAGCTCCCTAGGAAGTAATGTCTTGCTAGCCCTGTTTGACACAGGAAGAAACTGCCTGGTGAGGCTAGAGAGGGCACAGAGAGTCTTTCTCCCTAGTGCAGACCTCCCAGCCTGACCCAGCCCCCCGCCCCCGGGAATTTCCTAACACTTAGGGTCTACGTAGCTTAGTGAAGTGAGCTCTGGGAACCCCCGGTGAAAGGTGATTGAGTATAAATGAGTGGTTCTGCTCCCCAAAGCCTGGTGTGGGGGGCAAGGGACATCTTGGAGGTGTAAGCGAGCTTCTGGAGACCGTAGAGTGTGTGTATTAATGACGTTGAATGCCATAACTCAAACAGAAAGCAATACAGGCAGGATAGCCTTTCAGATCAAGGAGGGTGAGGGGAAGGGGTCGTGTTTCTAGATTCTCAGGGAAAAATCATTTGGAGTGATTTGTTCGGGTAGCAAGGGAAGGTGTTTCCTGTTCATTCTCGGGTGCAGCGCACGGGCACCACTTCACACACAGCATCTGTGCAGCTGTTGAAACAATGCCCAGCACCAACCCGCGGCGCCCAGCCCTAACCCGCGGCGCCCAGCACCATCCCGCGGCGCCCAGCACCAACCCGTGGCGCCCAGCCCTAACCCGCGGCGCCCAGCACCAACCCGTGGCGCCCAGCACCAACCCGCAGCGCCCAGCACCAACCCACAGGGCGCAGCTCCACCCGAGGCGGCAGCAGGGCCGGTGGGCTCCCTCTGCTGGCAGGATGCCAGGCTGCAGTCGCTCAACTCTAACCAGAGCAATTCCTTGGCTGCCGTCCCACTCACTGATAACCTAAACACCTTGGCTCTGAGAAAATGCTAAGTAAAAACCTAAGGAGAAGCTTGGCATTTCGCTAGTCTTTAACCACATACTCTGTTCTGGGGAAATGTGGGCCGACCACAAGAAACCATATCTAAGAGGTGTGCGAATGAGATTTCATGGGGAATATGCTGCCCTCACCTGGCCCTTTTAGAAAGAAACGTTATTCCTTAATTACTCATTTTTTCACTTCTCAGGACTGTATTTTCTTCCCCAGACCTTGAACACAATCCAGAAATGGAACAGGCGAAGTAGAACAGCTGCAGTTAAGAGCGAGGCATGTTAAAAGTTGGGGAAGACAGTGGGACTAGAATTTACTCCTGAGAAGTTTTGAGCTGCTCATGTGTTTGTTTTTTTTTTTCCTTTTTTTAAAGCAGAGTTTGGGAGGGTCGGGGAGGAGAGGAGGCAAATAGATTTTGATAGCAAAACCAATACCATTCTTCCCTGCATTTCTTTCTTTATTTTAATAAAAAGTTGGATAAATGAGTCAGTTGCTCGAGACCAGGCATCAGGAGTTGAGCTCTGTCCCTTTTCTGCTGTCACTGCAGACCCTCACCTCAGCCCAGGCTCAGTGATACCGTGTCAGTAGGGAAGGTCTGTGGGTAGTTAGAGTTGTAAACCCTCACCCTAAGCAATAGCTTTCCCTGCCTTCTCTCTTAAACCCTTTACCAGAAGCACTCACATGTGGGGAATACCATGATTTGCGTTCCACCGTCTCTCATCCTCTTCCTGTTTCGTGGGGAGGCTGCTGTGAGAAAGAAGTGGACTGGTTAAGCCATAAGCAGAGAGCATCACGCCCTCGAATCCCTGAGAACCAGCTGCATCCTTCCCTCTCAGGGGCTCAGTTTTCCATCTGGCCTCTCTGGGGGCTCCGAACGGGCCATCATAGGACCTTGGATGAGCATTAGTCGGAGGTGGGGGTCCTAGATCCCACAGTCTTCTCCCCCGGGGAGGTGGTCAGTTGAGCAGGTACCGTCTGGTGCCCACGGGCTGTTTTCTGCTTGAGATCTCCGCACCGCGGGCGACACACTGACACGCGGGCACTGTTGAGGCAGCCGAGGCTTCTGGGCGTGGGAGCTCAGTTTGGACACGGATGTGGAGGTGAAAGGGTGTTCTGGCCTCACAGGGGCCTCCAGCTGCTGGAGCCAGTCCTGACCCCTTCCTTCCAGTGGTGTGGGGGCCTCGCGGCAGCGCTGCCTAAACAATCACGCTGCCTCATCTCGCGCCCTCTCTCCCCTTAGACGCATCTGACCTTCGGGAAGGAGTTCACAGAAGCGGTAGAAGCCAAACAGGTGGCTCAGCAGGAAGCAGAGAGGGCCAGATTTGTGGTGGAAAAGGTGAGCGTTCAACCAGATGGCAGGAGCCTCTCTCCCCTTTCTCCTATGCTCAGTCTACCCGTTCACTGGGTGGCCTGGAAATTCATCATCTGTCATCTCTTTTTCCGGGATCATCGGAAGGGGACTGAAGGAACCATCCTCCTGCAATTGGTTCCAGAGTCTTCGGGGGCTAGTCAGGGATATGTGAAGTGATGTTTAAAATCACCGAAGGGTCATTTTTCTTCCACTTCCCTAAGATCAGAAACACTCGCCTGCAAATAAAAATGTTTTCTCCTGGAATATTTTCAGCTTCACTGCGAAGTCATTTTTAACCGTTGTTACACAGTGAAAGCTGACAGCAGAAAGGATCAAACACTGCGCCAGATGCGCTCTCGTCACTGGATTTTTTTTCCAGCACTAAATCCATCCAGATGTGGCAGAGTGTGATGGGACACGCTGTATTTGCGCAGCAGCCTGGTCTTCTGGTCTTTGCAAAAGCATATTTATTTCTTGCTGTCCCTTCTCCCCACTGCTGGTTTTTCTTGGGTTAGTCCTAATCCAAGAACCTTAGTTCTTTGAAGCAGGGAAAAGAGCAATGTACGGGTGGCCAGCGTTTCATTTTAGGGAATGGAAACCCCTTGTGGGCAGGGACTTCCTTGCTTTTTTTTTTCTTTCCCCCGCTGTGTCCAGAGTCTCGAACATAGGTCTAAGACTGTATCTGGGAATACTTAGTAGGTGCTCAGTTAACATTTGTTAATGCCGTACCCTCCGCCCATGACCGAGTCGGGCATTGCAGATAGAGGTCCTCCTGTTGGTGCGGGCAGGGAGAGCCTGGAGAGCCGTGTTCTGTTGCCTGGGTTCCTGGGCTGGAACCAGGTTAGCTCAGGGGAGCATCACACGGGCCTGTAGCTCCTCATCAGCTGCTCTGTCTCCCCAAACAGGTGTGTTAGACGAAAGTCACTTTGACTAGGGACTGGAGGGAAAGTCGAGCCTGAGGATGGCTTCTACCTTTTGTCTCCCCTGTTTTCCTCGGTTTGGCTCCTCCTGGCTCAGTAAGATGGCTGGGCTGGATTGCTGCTAACGTCAATGAGGACCTTGAAATAAGACAGATACTTACACAGCCAACAGAAATGTGTCCCCGCAACGGCGAGGAGTGGGCAGTGCGTTGCAGGAAAGAGGAGGATTGGGTGGACGGTGCCTGTTGAGCCCATCTGGAGGTGGGGGAGCCAGATTCCCAGAGTTCCTTCGGGAGCCAGTGAGGGCGTGTGGCCTGGTCCTTCCAAGGCCGCTGCCTGCCATCCAGCACCCTCAGGTGTGATCTTGGTCTCCCCCCACCTCCACTGTCTTAGGCTGAGCAGCAGAAGAAGGCGGCCATCATCTCTGCCGAGGGCGACTCCAAGGCCGCCGAGCTGATTGCCAACTCGCTCGCCACCGCGGGCGATGGCCTCATCGAGCTGCGCAAGCTGGAGGCCGCAGAGGACATCGCGTACCAGCTGTCGCGCTCTCGGAACATCACGTACCTGCCGGCTGGGCAGTCCGTGCTCCTGCAGCTGCCACAGTGAGACCCGGCCGCTGGGCCCCGGCCCTGACCACTCTTCGCGCCACCGCCCTTCTGCCCCCGCCCCAGAAATCACTGTGAAATTTCACGATTGGCTTAAAGTGAAGGAAATAAAAGTGAAATCACTTCAGATCTCTCCTTATCAGATGAAGCTTTTTCATTCTTCCCATTTCCATCCACTTTTTGATCCACCTCCGTCCCCCAAATTGCCAAGTGCCCGGGGCCCACCGGCGCTCCGGTCTAGGCACTGGCGGTCGGCAGGAGAGAGGCTCTGGCGCCCGGGGCTGGGGAGCTCGGTGGCTGGCCTGAGCGCCCTTGGAGCCTCCAGCCTGTTGTTTAGGCGGGACGTGAGGAATACGGCACACTCAGCTGACGGGAAAGCATGGGTCTCCATGTTTCCCAGTGGTTCCTCCACAGACCAGCTGAAGAGCTGCCGGGGAGGGTCAGAGAGGAAGTCCTCTGTCTCTCACCATAAGGCTGATTCTCTTTAACTGCGGGGCTGGCGGAAGCAGGTGTGAACAGCAGGGCATGGACTGAAGAATCTGCCCCTGGGAAGGTGGGTGGGCCTGTTGCACTGTGCCCCCAGGCTCCTGCCCCCGGGATGGCCTTGGAGAGCAAGCGAGCAGGCCTGGTCGGGGATGTGAGTCCTGTTGAAGACTTCCTCTCCACCCCCCACCTTGGTGTCTCAAGACACCCGACGGAATTCCAGCTTGAAGGATTGCATCCTGCCGAGTCTGAGCACGCCTGCCAAAGCTGAGTGCGTCCTGCATTCTGGCTCCCTCATTCAGAGACTGCCTTTCCAGAGGGCTCTGTGCCTGTGCTTTGAAGGAAATGGCCATGGGAAGAAAACAAATGTGTGTAAACTGCCGTCAATAAATGACACCCAGAACCTTCCAGCTCAGTCTTAACGGGTTTGCTTTTTTTGTTTGTGGGAGCCATGAGATCAGAACAGAGCATTCTAGCAGTTTTCGTGTGCACGTGTTTGCCTCGCCAGCTGGGACAGTCTCCAGCAAGGCTGGGGGATGCTTTGGTTTCAGAAAACATAGCTTTGTGCTGTGTTCCAGAGCCATCCCCAGCCTGAAATGAATCTCCGTGGTGTCAGGTGAGCTTTGTCATAAGATGGGTTCTTCGGAGGCCACGTGAGTGGAGATGAGTTGCCTTTCCTCTGTGGCTTTTGGTACCACTCTGCCTTCCCCTTGGGGGAGGGGCGTGAACGGCACAGGAGCCACGTGCAATTCAGTGCCCAGGAGTTCGAAGCTAATGTTCATTATGTGGCTTCATATAATGGGTTTATATGGCTTATTCTGTTTTGCTTTGATGTAGAAATGACTTGGCATCTGAGGGGGCCAACTTGATGCGTTTTGAATGGTGGGGAGGGAGAGCGGACCCACCACTGAGATGTGAACGGGTCACTCACCTGAAATCCTTTGAGGAGCAAGACAGAGGAACAACAGTGCGGTGAGCACTCGGTGGGCGATGCTTTCACCTCTGTGCTCGGTTTAATCCCTGGGCTCACCACCTGGCCAAGGAGAACGGTCTTTAAGAGGACCCTACAGGGGTGCCTGGGTGGCTCAGTCGGTTAAGCGACTGCCTTCGGCTCAGGTCATGATCCCAGGGTCCTGGGATCGAGTCCCACATCGGGCTCCCTGCTCCGCGGGAAGCCTGCTTCTCCCTCTCCCGCTCCCCCTGCTTGTGTTCTCTCTCGCTGTCTCTCTCTGTCAAATAAATAAATAAAATCTTTAAAAAAAAAAAAAGAGGACCCTACAGCCCGGTCTGTGACCTGGATTCGCATTCCTTGCCACCACCCCCCCCACCCCGAGTGAGGGTGAGCGGTCAGCTGAGAAAGGCAGAGACCCAGTCCCCCCATCCCTGCACCTGCTCCCCTCCCCTCCCGGGGCTTTCGAGCAGAGGTCCAGTCCCTTCCCGTTCCCCCGGAGCACTCCAGAAGTGCAATGGGCCCAGCTAAACCTCCCGCTGAAGCCTGGTCCTGCCCGACACCTGCGGGCACCCGTCGAGCCCGACTCCCTCAGCTGCCCTGGCACCCTTTATCTCGGGGTGTCTCTTCCCACTTGGTTCTTCGCGGTAAGAGCAGTGGGGTCTGCAGATGGTGAGGTGCCTGCGCTCCAAGCATGACAGCCCTGAGCAGGGAGAATTTCTCAACAGCTTCCAGACGGGCTTCCTCCTTTCCTGCTGTTTATTGCTGTGGACACCCCTGTGGGGGGGGGGGGAGGGCCGCAGACTCCCCCCTCCCCAGGCCCTTTTTAAAAAGAGCAGTTGTGTTTCTTGCACTTGGCGGGAGATTGGGTTTCTTCCTCCAGGTGTCTGCAGGGAAGCCCTCCACAGCCTGTGGGTCCCCCCTGCCTCCAGGCCAGCCCTTCTAGCCACAGACAGGCTCCTGCTGGTTTGGCCTGTAGCCGGCCTGCCATGGATAGTGCCCCTGGCAGCCCGGGGGCCTCATTCTGCCTTGACTTCCGCCAAGTCATTCTATCCACAAATGTTCAAGTGGTGTTAACTGGCTCCTGAGCCCCGGAGCCCCCTGATGGCCTCTGGGTTTCTCCAGAAGCTGCCACAATGGGCCTTTATCAGCTCGGGATTCTCTGGGCCTTGGCTCAAAAGCCGTGTCCTGTCCTGGCCAGCGAAGGGCCAGAGTAGGGAGTGCCTTCCTCCCTCTCTCCTCGGGTCAGGCTGAATTGCTTCCTTGTTCGGGCACTGAGAGGTCGCTTGCTTACTAAGGCAGCAATGGACCCTGGATAGGCAGGGGAGAGAAGAATTCTCAAAGGGTTGCCTTTTCCTTCCTTCTGCTGGTTTGACACAAATTCTGCCAGGGAGGACCAAGGGAGGAGGAGTTGCATTGTGGGCATCCCCAGGTGCATTGATTTGAAAGACAGGAAGAGGCAATGGAATATTAGTCAAATCCTGATTTAGCAAATGCTATTCTAATAGGCCATTCCAGCAATCTGCAGGGAGACGTGCTGTCAGGACCTCCGCTTGACCTTTGACATCCGCCAGTAATTGTGAGCTAAGCAGCCCACCCTCATTGAAGATAACTTGAGTGAAAAGGTCGCAAGAGGTTGTACCAGATTTCCCTGCCTTTCTTAGGCCTTCTGTTCATCCTGCACATTGTTCCAAACTTCATTTTCCTAAAGCACATCTTACCTCCTCCCTACTGGAAAACCTTCAGTGGCCACTCCTTGCTTTGTCAAGTGCAAGGTCTTATCCTGGCATCCAAGGCCCTCCACGGTCCGGCTACCGCTGGCTACCTTTCTAGGCCAAGGGTGTAGTTTCCTGCTTGCCCTCACAAACCAACCTCGTGGCTCCAGTGGGGCGGGGAGTACTGAGAAAGCCAGCAGCTCCTGGCATTAGGGGAGGGGGAGGTGGGTGGCAGGGGATGCTACAAGACCTACTTTGTATGGGACAGATTCCTACTATGAAGAATTGCCCCCAAAGTAATGCCAGTGACAACCCCCACCCCCCCGTGAAAACACGTGCCAAATTGAGTTCTTGTCTACACTCCCCCACACTTCCCCTGCATCCTCTTTGCTTGGCGTCTCTTCAACCTGGAGAGCCCTTCCCCCACATTTCACAGGTCCAGATATTCCCATCCTCCAGTACTTTCTCTTCCACAAAATATCTGCAAAGTCCCCTCCGCCCCCTATTCATGACCTCTCCCTTGCCTGGATTCCTATCCACATTCCCATGAGGCATTTAGCACTCCCCTTGTTGGGTTGTAGTGTGTGTGTGTGTGTGTGTGTGTGTGTGTGTGTGGTTTAGCACTCCCCTCGTTGGGTTTGTGTGTGTGCACACGCGCGTGTGTTTGTGTGTTCTCTCTTACTCTACATTTATAAAGGGCAGGACCTTTCTATGACTGAACATTCCCCGTTCCTCTTCTTTCCCCCAACCACTGCCTGATCTTTCCCCAAGTCCAAGGTCCCTGGCTCTTGGTGGGAGCTCCTGAGTGTTTGCCAAAGGAACAGATGAAGGAAGAGCCAGCACAGGGACCGAGGTTTGGACGGAGGGTCGGCAGCCGGGCCGCTGAGCTCTCCTCCCGCACCATCGTGTTAAGTTACTTCAAGCTCCTCTGGATCCGAGGCTCGGGGTCTAGCAGCCCAATCCCTTCACTGATGTGCCCCCCAGGGCCGACTTCCCAGTGTCCTCACTCTCTTGCTTCAAACGGCCTCTATGTGGGACTCTGCCCTCGTGCCGCCTGCCCGCAGCTCAGTCCCTCCCGCTTCTGTCTGGAACATTCTCTCTCTCTCTCTCTCCTTCAATCCCTGTCCTTCTCCCTGTCTTGAGCCCAACTTAAAATCCCTCCGCCTCTGGCCGACTCACCCCAGCTTTCCGAGCACATAAGGTATCCCTTTCTAAGAAAGATGCTGCCTCTGGACCGCTGGCAACACAGGGACTGAGAATTCGAAAGGAGCCGTGAGGCCTGCCCGAGCTGGTCGAGGCTGGGACGCTTTGGCAAGGCCGGAGGCCCAGAGCTGGAAGCGAGAACATGGAAATGTATTGGCGTAGGGAAACCGCTTTGTAGGTGAAAGAGAACCCCTTTACACGGGACCCTGGGTGGATAGGGAGGAGGGGATCTTTCCAGCACCCTCCAATCAAGCTACTTTGGAAGACGAGAAAAGCCGAAAGGACAAGGCCACTTTGGGGGAGCTGAAAGCTGTTGTCAGCCCTGAAGCCTACGCCACGCCATCCAAATTAGCCAGAAAGGCCAGGATCAAGCGAAGGCTTGAGTTTGGCTGAAATAGCTGCAAACACTTGGGTCAGGGGTCTGGCCTGCTGGCTGAGAACAGCCCAACTGGATAGCTCACAAGCTAATGGTGGTATTTACGCTTCTAAACGGCTGGGGAAAATCAAAAAAGAAAGACAATTTGGTGACGCATGAAAATGAGGTGAAATTCAAACTTCAGTGTCCACAAGTCAAGTGTTGTTGGAAGCATAGCACTTCAGCGGCGGGGCTGGAGAGTTCCAGCAGACCCCACATGGCCAGCAGAGCCGAAGGTATTCACTCTTCGCCCCTTTGCGGGACAAGTTTGCTGAGCCCTGCCTCGGGGGATTGGATAGCCTTGGAGAAGAGGAGGAAGACTTGAGATTTGGAAGTCCGGGGCACCAAGCAGGCCGAGGACTTTAGGTCCGATACAGTGTAACTGTTACCAGAGTCCCTGCTTGTGGCAAGGCTGAGGCTTCGGCAGTCTGGAATGCAAAGTCACTCCGGGGCCCCGGCACAAAGATTTATAATGCCCGCTCCTCTCCGCGGCTTGCACATGCTTCTGAATGAGAGAGGAAGTGGGAATGGCGGTAGCAAAGAGATGGGAATTAGGAAGGAAGGACCCGATGGTCCCCTAGAGGTTCGAGGATCTCCAGGCCTGGGGTAAAAGCACTTCCTTGCCACCCTTTTGCCGTCCAGGAAGGGTTTGCTGCTGGCCTGTCCTTCCAAAGCCGGAGGGGGAGGGGGGCACAGCTAAGAAAGGGAGCCCAGTGCTCAATGACTCCCAGAAATGGGGGCCTCTGGGAGCTTTAGCTTCTGGGTGGAAAAGTCTCTTGGTTAAGACCACATCTATCCTGGGGGACGCCTGGGTGGTTCAGTCAGTTAGGCGTCTGCCTTCAGCTCAGGTCATGATCCCAGGGTCCTGGGATGGAGCTCCTCGTTGGGCTCCCTGCTCAACGGGGAGTCTGCCTCTCCCTCTCTCTCTGCCCCTCCCCCTCCCCCTGCTCATGCATGCACATGCGCTCTTTCTCTCTCAATTAAGTAAATAAAATCTTAAAAAAAAAAAAAAAAAGACCACATCAATCCTGGATAACCAGAGACCCCAAAAGAACTACTGATGCTGCTCATTGTGGATTGCGCCAAACCTAATCTCTACCAAGCATTCAACGGCAGATCAGCTTGCCA